TATAAATCATAATTAAAAAATAAAAATAAAGAAAAGCTGCGTATTAGTAAACTTACAAATGGCAAAAAGTAACATTCCTGCATAAAGAAGACGTCCATCCTTCGCTAACCCGACCAGTATAAAAGCTGGCACAATAAGATACAGGCTAAATACTGCGCATGGTTTAGACGCCTGTGGCGGTAGACGACGCACAACTCCGCCTTGCAGTAGGGCCATAACAATGCCTGCATTAATAAATACTTTTTTTGCTAAATGTTTAGATATTTGAATTTAATAATTCTTACCAGTCATTAGAAACATTTTCGCTTGATCCATGGAGCTGTAGCCGAATTTGTGAAACATAAGGAATGTAACAGTGAACTCCAAGCCGGAATATAAAAACAGATACAAGAAGTATATCAGTCCTATTTTGCGTAGTGCATTTATTTCCGTTTTCGATATTTTCTTAATCGCTGAGAAGCTGTTCAAGAAAATGTAAGTTTTTATTTATTTCAAGCTTAAGATTTAGGCATACATACGTACGTATATAGGTACATATGTATAAATATTTAAAGGTGGTAATTGCATAAAAGTTTTGGAGTAAAACTTATTAGATGTCAAAAGGTTTGCGTCTAAGATGTTCCAAAAATAATCATATAATTCTTGTTACAAGTCGACAGAAAGAATCATCACGCTACTCTAATCAATGTTGTACATAATTATATGTATATTCGATCAAGGTCATTCTAGTCAACATTTTGTAAAAAAAAAACAAGAAGTTTGATGATGGCTTATTCAATATTATTCATTAAAAGGAAGCAAAATAAATTAAAAGAAACGACCCAAAACACAGCACTCCGGACAGCGACCGGATGTCGCCAGAAAATCGCTTGCATGTCGAGGCGCAAATGCTCCAAATAAGGGAGCACAACACAATGCTCTGCAAGCAATTTTTAGTACGCAGCCAAAGGCGTGAACACCCGAACAGTGGACTGCTTGCAGAGGACGAAGTCCAGAGGTTCATAAAGCAAACCTTGGACACAGCAGCATATCGACAGGCCTGAGCGGAATTCTGGACACACAACCACCTTATGTGGACGAGACGGAGCTACGTCTGCCTACATCTCTTCGCATGCCCATAAAACCCCACACAGCTAACGCGTCTGTCCCTATAGAGGTTGCACGCTTTTTAGCTGAGCTTGACGACAACGACTGAAATACTAGCCGATCTGGGCAACAAAAGAAATAATGGTCTGATTATGTGCATTCCAATAGCCCTATAATTTCATATCTTAGCTTCTTAAGTCGCATACTTAAAGTAGCTAAAACTTTGTGTGATTTGTGGAATTTTGTGGTTATCAAGTGCTTATTTTAAAATTGTAATCTCTAAAAAATATATACGTCCAAAACTATAACTATGCTTAAATATATGTATATACATATGTATGCAAGTGTGAATAGTTTTAAACATAAATTGTGCTTGGCTTATCTAATTACAAAAAAATACACTACTTTGATAAATAAGCCTACGTTCCGTTGGGAGCGAAGCTAATCGCAGGCCTTGCTTTGAATATGAATAATACGCTTAACTAAGATAATAAAAAAGTAAAAAAAGCAAAATGTGAAGATAAAGTAACGTGCCGAGTTAATTAAAAATTCAAGCCGGTTGCAACGTGCTCAATGCACGACTACAAGCGTATGCTAATTAAAAGTAGCAAAAAATAACATAAAAATTATCGTGGGAGAGTATCTACGCGTCTGATTCGCTTGAACACTTTTCGTTCCATACTTACTTGAATATTGAGCGCACATCCAATAACTGTATAGCATATGACATAGCGGAAGATATCTCTTTGGCACGTTTTTCCTAAAGAATCAAAAATAATAATAATTTAACTGATTATTATAATCTCAATGCTATATAATGGCTCACCTTGGGTAATGTTTCTTTAAGTTTAAACGCAATAACACCCAAATCACACATGGCTAATGCAAAGGCACACAATGAAGGTGCCACATACCATGATTCCCATGATTTATTCAATGAACGCGCAAATAAGGCACCAATTATAGGACCGGCAATGAAGCCTACTGAAAATGCGACACCCACTAATGCCATACCAAACGAACGTGTCTTCACACTGGAGACATCAGTGATGATGGACATGCATAGCGATATATTGCCTTTGCTGATACCGCCCACAAATCGAGCCAGCACGAAAAGTGCGAAATTACTTGAGAGCGCCCAAAGTAGATAGGATAAAGCAATACCAGCCTATTAAATAAGAGTAATGCATGCATATGTATAAGAGTTTTCCAAATTTATTAGGGGTATTCTCTGAGTCTTGCAAAGCCCTTGCATGGTGCACAGATTGCACGTATTGCACGGTTAAAACCGGTTTTCGTATGGGACAGCTTTGCAAACCGTGCAATCCGTGCACCGTGCAAGGGCTTTGCAAGACTCAGAGAATACCCCTATAGTTACTCACCCCACATATAAGCATTAAAGGCTTGCGGCCATAGTAATCCGATAGTCCACCCACAATGGGACTTGCCACAAATTGCAAAAAGCTGAACATGGAACCCAGGAATCCGCCATACAGCACCGATGTATATCGTTCTGGTGCGCCCACCAGCTGCTGGAACCAGTGTATGCGCCGCGTCAGCAAGTTATACAAGCCGGAGCTATCATTTTGTCGATAGTGCTCGAGCAAAGAAGGCATTAGTGGCAGGATCATGGTGAAGGCGAGTAAATCAAATAGGAGCGATATGAAAACGACACTCACCATTGACCGTTCATTACTTTGGCCTGCTCCACCATCGGTCAATTCTGCGCCCTTCAGTTTGTCATGGCCTTTACTCTTAATCGCCTCGGCACCATTGTTGTTATTTGTAATTTTGTCGCCATTACGGCTTTTTAATGCAGTCGCCGCAGTCATGAATGTGATTCAATAAAAACTGTTGTTAACAAAACTATATTTTGCAAATATAATTTTAAAACTAATATTTCCAGTTTTTTTGGAACTTTATTACAGCACAATAGTCATGTGCTGAACCGGATTGGCTGAACGACTCTTCATTTGTGAAGTGAAAGTTAATCCAATCATCGGCAGACAATTCAACAAGCTAGTAAATACACAGAAGTAGTTATATGCAGAAAATAGCAACAAATATAAACAAAAACATAACATTCCCAAGTGTTGCCACAGAATGCAACTAGTTTTGATCAATTAAATTTTAATCCATTGTGAATAAAAATGGGCCGTTTACGAAAAATTTTGTTTTGCAAATTTGTTAACTTCTGTAATTTATAAAACCAAAGAACGTAGATGACCACTGATGAAGCGCTATTTGAACGAATTCCTATGATTAGCATGTGCTACGAAATAGGGTTTCGCATTTTCTGACGAACGTTTTATTTTGAGTTGTGACTTGACTTTTGAAGACTGCGATTTTTTTCAGAGTGACTATTGTGAGTGTAGCTTTGTGGAAGAAGTGCGAGATTTTGATGGGACTACCAATTTACAAAATTTTGTTGGCCAGCCAGTTTTATCCGTACTCTTTTTTTCCAAAATAACGCCAAAAAACTGTGAAATTATGTCCAAAGTCACTGTGCAGGACATTGAAGCTGTGGACGACTATTGGGGGCCAACATTCCGCTCTATTTTGGAAGGTACATAATTATTTAATAAGTAGGAAACGTCCTCCCACACTTGAGTTTTCTTCTATCTCTGATTAAGGCAATAATACTGAGTCCCTATCGGAGCAGCTGGAGCAGCGTATTCGCAGCCATGATAAGGACATCGAACGCATATGCAATCTATATTACCAAGGCTTCATAGACTCCATACAGGAACTGCTGCAAGTGCGCACACAAGCTAAGCAATTACATGACGAGGTACACACATTGGATCGCTCATTGCAGCAAATGAGTGCATCGGTGTTGCAGCAAGGACAAGATTTGGTGCGCGCTCGCCAAATCGAATCAAACTTAGCCAGCGCTATTGATGCGCTCCAAGCATGTCTGCCGGCACTTGAGTGCTACATCAAATTTACCCAACAAGCAAATAACAAACAATATTACCAGTCATTGCGCACATTGGAAACGTTGGAATCGCAGCATCTTGTTGGACTAAGCAACTATCGCTTTGCCACTCAAATACGCCAAGCCATTCCAGTAATCAAAGAGAATATTAGGCGTTCTGCCGAAGCAGACTTTCGCGAATTTTTGGAAAATATACGTAAATTTTCGCCCAAAATCGGTGAAGTAGCTATAACGCATACAAAAAAACTGCAAAAGCGTGATATAAATGCTATCATTGAGGAACACAAGAAGTTGCTGCAGCATGACAATCGCGAAGAGGAGAACGATTTAAGTGCACAGGATCTTATAGATTTCTCGCCAATATACCGTTGCTTGCATATTTATATGGTATTAGGGCAGCGTGAATACTTTGAAAAGGACTATCGCCAACAGCGACGCGATCAGTCAAAACTGGTTTTGCAACCACCGCCAGGCATGCACGACAACTTGGAGGCATACAAAACTTATATCTGTGCTATTGTTGGCTTTTTCATTGTGGAAGACCATGTGAAGAATACGGCTGGTGATGTGGTCACAACTTCGTACTTGGAGGACTTGTGGTCCACTTCCTTAACGAAATTCGTAAATGAGATTAGCATGGCATCGTCATCCTGCACCGATCCTAACATACTTCTGCGCATAAAAAACCTTATAATGCTGTCAATAAACACTTTCAAGTGCTATGGCTACACGGTGAACATGCTATTCGAGTGCTTGCACAATATGCGCGATCACTACAATGAGGTGGAATCAGTGATATACATAACTTATTTTTTAATAATGTGCTTAAACTTGTCTTTTTTACAGGTACTTCTGCAACGCTGGGTACATGTTTTCCGTGACATTCTGGACAAGGAGCAATTCCAGCCCATGATCGTTGAAAGTCAAGAGGAGTATGAGGCCATCATTGAACGCTTTCCATTCCATTCAGAGCAGCTCGAAAATGCGCCTTTTCCCAAGAAGTTTCCCTTCTCACGCATGGTACCCGAGGTCTACCATCAGGCTAAAGAATTCATGTACGCTTGCATGAAATTTGCCGAAGAGCTAACACTATCGCCCAATGAAGTGGCTGCAATGGTACGTAAAGCAGCCAATTTGTTGCTGACACGCAGCTTTAGTGGTTGTCTTTCCATGGTGTTTCGCAATCCAAGCGTTGCGCTGCCACAACTTATACAAATTATCATCGATACACAATACTTGGAAAAGGCTGGTCCATTTTTAGATGAGTTCGTTTGCCACATGACAAACACGGTAAGCAATATATCGCAAACACCCTCGGCTATGTTTCATGTGGCACGTCAAGAGGCTGAGAAACAAGTTGGTGTGCGCATATGCTCCAAAATGGATGAATTCTTCGACTTGGCAGCCTACGATTGGCTGCTCATTGAACCACCAGGCATCGCTTCCGCTTACATCACCGATATGATATCCTATTTGAAGAGTACATTTGATAGTTTTGCTTTTAAGTTACCGGGCATTGCGCAAACAGCTTGTCGGCGTACTTGTGAACACATTGCAAACAAAATCTATGATATACTCTACGATGAAGAAGTGAAGCAAATTTCAACTGGCGCATTGCAGCAAATCAATTTGGATCTGTTGCAATGCGAGTTCTTTGCTGCCTCTGAGCCCGTGCCTGGTTTGCGGGAAGGCGAACTTTCCAAATTTTTTCTCAAAAACCGACAATTGCTTGACTTGCTCATAATGGAGGAATGGAGTACGTATTTGCATGATTATGGCAAGCAAGAAAATCGTTACCACTTGGTCCATCCCCAATCGATTATTACCATTTTGGAAAAGATACGCGAGGCAGATAAGAAAACAATGTTCTCAGTGTTACGTAAAAATGACAAAAAGAAGCTGTTGGACACTGTGCTGAAGCAGTTGAAGCATCTAACTGAGCGGCAAACTTAGATGGGAAGTGCCTTTTATGGTGGGAAAAATTTTATAGTAATAAGCGCAATAGATAACATAAAATAAAAAAATTATAATATTGGCCTGAACGCAACTTTTGTATTTCAGCTATAATTGAATTCCGTTCGTTGAGATGCTTTCTTGTTTTAAATTTATTATAATTGTATTATTTATATAAAAGAATTGCAACTTTGTTTACGTTTCGTGTTATGATACATATGTATATGCGACATAATTATAAATTCTTTGACAATTTTTTTATGCATCATTGAGTTAAATATTTTGATGTAATATATACAAAGTATTAGCAATAATATATAATTATTATTATAATAACCTTATATGTATGCCATATGTTTGTATGTGTCTGTCTTATTGATTCAGTTGCACATCATTTAATTTCGTGATTGTTTGCCTTACCCAATTTCTGTTTTTTTTCAGGGTACCAGAACAATTGCATTTATAACATTAATCAAATCTATGCCACGTATTCGTAAATATATTCTCTTTTCTGGTGTCAACTTTTCACTTCTAGGTGTTTTGGTGCATCCGCATATGTGAATTTGAGACGAAACGCTTCCGCAACTAAAACATTTATCTGACGGTCGGACCAATTTTCGGTTGGCAGATTTTGTAGCAGCAGCAAGAGGCCCTAAAAATGCATTTGTGGTTAAATAAAAGCTTACGAACGCCAACCTGAACTAATTTGAAAGTCTAGCTCACTTGAAAATCGTTTTGTTGCATTAATCTATCCTTCCAATGTAATAGAAATGCCGCACATACATACAAATGGAAGAGTGCAAAACCATCAGACTCGGCGAGGTATGTGTCCCACAAGCGTATGGTGCAATGCAGTGGCAGCTCACGTGTTAGTAAATTATTCATCCAACGAAACGAAAACTGCAGGTAGTCCACGCCGTGTGCTTGCAAGTGGCGATGCAGATTTCCTAAAATTAATCATACTACAGCTTTTCTGGACACGCGAATGTTTTGTTCTTAACGTACCATCAATCCGCTGTATAAGATCCTTTAATTGATTTACCTTCTCTTGTATACCTAATTGCGCAAATATGTAGTTGTCCTGGATGCAATCTAGAAATTTGGAGAGACACCAAAATGAATCTGCTTCAATGGCGTCCCTTTTGTCCACTGATAGGTTATCAATATTGAATTTTTCCAAATCGGTGCCTATTTCAGGGAAAAAATTCCGATTTAACCGCATTAAATCGATTATATTTATTTAGGTTACCTGGCTCCAATACTTCTTGCAAGAACACAATAAAAAATGGGGTCACCAAATCATTTATGCCCTGTACATACCCCGAGGCTGGGTGACGTATGGCCCAAATGAATAAAATTCGCTCAAACATTTCCTGCACGAGCTTTTGTTGAAATAGTGATATTTGTGGATTCATACGGGGCACGTCGATATGTATCTAAATAGAACATTTTCAATGTTTATTAACTAAAAAAATATACATATACATTCTAAAGGGCTGCAAGAATCAACTCGTAAGTTACCTCGAGTCTAGCGCCGCTGTTGAGTTAGACTCGAGTTATGGGATGAATTCATGAGTTAACTCTTGCAGCCCTTTAATACATATATATATCGTCGTTTAAAGTACAAAACCGCGTATTAAAAAAAGGCATGTCCTCGTATCAAGATAATACAAATCCGCGTATGTGAGGTTTCATAAATTATTTTCTAGAGAGTAAAAATACTCATTCCAAAATGGTTATCTTTTTTTATAAAGCAAACGCATTTCTGGCTAGTATATTTTAGGACGAATGGATAAGTATTGAGCCAAGAGCTTGTGTGAGCAAATCCTATTTTTGGCAGCAACTGTCAGTTAAGCGGTTTTGCAGAATGGCGATACGCGGTTTTGTACTTTAAACGACGTTAAGCAGCTGTAAGATTTTAATTTCCTATTCAAATGCAATTGGCTCAAAAACCACTCTTATTACACACCTGCCTGTAGGTGTCCTGTTGCGATTCGTCCTGGCTGTCGACTCTAAAATAATTATGCCGCAAATCCTGATAGCCCTGTCTCTTGCTTTCGAGCACCGCATCGCGCCTCTCCCCAGCTGGTGGTAAATATTTTGATAACAGCCGCCAACTAACTGCACGCATCTGCCAAAATAAAAGTAATGAAATAGTAATTGGTTGATTTATCGAGCGGATTTCAGCAACGTTACATGTAATTCCGATTTTACAGAGGTTGCACATACCTTCTTTGGTACCCCCGACCAGCTGAGCTTCTTTAGCGCCACCAAATCTAAAAGTGGCGACTCTAGCAACAGTTGGAATTTTTCAATTTTAGTCTCATATTCGGTTTCTTGCGCATTTGAACTAAACTTCTGTAGCTGTGGTCGTCCCGGATATGCATGAAAATTGCGCACAACTTTCATTCTATAATTAAAAGAGTATTTCAGTTCGTTCGTAGTCACAAAAGGCTATCTAAGTACAATTATCTTTATTACCTTGCTTCAGTATCGTTATTCGTGTCATTTTTTGGAGCTCCTTCCTCGCTTGTTTGACTGATTGAATGCTGCAATCTGTGGCGTTGTAGTTGCTGCTCTGACTTTATTGTCACGGTTGGCACTCTTGTTGATTTCGCGTTTGCTGCACTCGATGTAGCTGCTGATGAGCGTACGGTGGAAGTGGTTGCTGAATTTCGATGCGTTTCAATAACATTTAACGCCGCTGTTTGTGACACTTTTTTTGATATTCGCGAATCTAGCAAAATGTGGTGATCAAAGTTATTGTAAAAAAATTTATAAATTGCATTTAGAAAATAACGCATTCAATTTTATTTTACACCTACCATTTGCCGAAGCAGCACTTGCTGCTGCTCCTGACATTATGCAGAATTCGTCATCACCTGTGTCCCAAGCATCGCTTACAGACTGCTGATAATCACGAAATGTGGATACCATACCGTCACCTTTGCCACCGCTTGTACGAACCAAAACTCCGCCAACACTGCTGCTGATTAAACTCGTGTCGTCACCGCGCTTAGGGCTTGGACGTCCTGGCACCAATCGCCCACTGTTCTTCCAAAATGATGAATTTGTACCGCTGCTACCAATGTTGGTGTTGACCCCAATATTACTGCTTTTAACCTTCGTTGCTGTTACTGTGCTGGCCGTGATGTTACTGCTTTTGTTGCTGCCGTTTTGTCTCGCACCCTCTACATTATTGTCCATAGTATGCGCAAATGCCAATATCCTAAATTACCATTTATATATTTTTGGGTTCCATGAAGATTCCATGCATATATATGTTCCAAAAGGTTACATTTGCTTTATTATCCCGAAATGTAATTGCCAAGTAGATTCCAGTGCGCTGTTTTCTTTTGCATCTGTATTCCTATTTTCTTGTATGTATTTTACTAGGTCTGCTTTATGCCAAACAAATTTTACGAAAACATGATTATATTCTTATTAAGAATAAAATAAATACGTGTTCAGCTAGTGAATTAAATAAAAAAGTCAAAGTTTCAGAAAAAGTTACTCCTAGTTCGACTGAAGATGCAAGCGATGCATCGATTTTCCCGATAACTGGTGCGTATTCCCACAAATTGTAAATGCATTCTTTGGTTTGGTATCAAATGCACTACCAGAAATCGGTTCGGGAACCGGGTTTGGGCATTGTGTACAATGTGTAATTTTCGCCTGAGGCGCTTTTTTCTAAAAAATCCAATACTTCCATATATCTTGAAAATTTTCACCTGCGACCCTTTTTTTAGGAATTCTTCCATATATAGTGAAAATATCCAATAAAAAAGCTATAACATATATGTACATGTCCACTTTATTATTTACGTTTTCATTGATTCCCTTTTCAGTACTTTTTTTTACACATTTTTTGTGATGTGTGGCAGCTCCGCAATTTCAGTTCACTCGATGTACAAAGGAAAATGTGAGGTTAAATTTCATTTTTTTTTACAACTTTAACAACAAATTACTTTCAGAATTAATTTCAGATTTAGAATTACAAAAAGCCGCTCTAAACCCCCTCATATTTTTTTTCAAAGCCTGGTCCGTTATTGGAAAATTTTCCCATATAAATATATCAAACCTTGTGCCATATTTAAAAAAAATCAAAAAAAAATTCGAGCTTTTTAATTACATTTATTAGAAAGATTTTTAGTATGCAGTTTTGTAGCCCATGATTTATTTACTTTTTTTTAATTGCAAGACCGTTGATTTGTAAATGTTTTCTTTTTTGTAACGGTGTTGCCTGTTTTCTTCCATACAAAAACGAAGAAAATGCGCAACACTGATGTGGAAAATGAAATGAAAATATGTGCATACCTGCGTTGTGATTTTTTGGTAGCTACTTAGTTTAATGCAGCGTTTTTGCTGCATTTAAAATGCAACATTTAGCACTTTCGAACATATGTTTTCGAAGAGCGTTCATGCTATCGCATTTAGCAAATGTACATTTACGCGAGTTCGAAATCGTATGCTTTTGACAAACAGCCGTGTTCCAGTCGCTTATTCAGATCCGTATCTATTACGATAAATTCTCACGGAAAAGATAATGTCCAAAAATCCCTACTGAAAAGGAAAAAATAAATTCTAAACCGAAAATTCAATACAAAA